CATGATTTGCATCACGAAGTCAACAGAAACATCAAAACCTGGTAGGGCCAAGCCATAAACAGCCAAGTATTATGCTGCAATAAATCTGGATTCAATTCTTGTTTCTTACTCCTCAAAGTAAGTCCCCAAAGTAGCCAAAGCCTACAATTATATACTCAGTCCAAACTACCAAGTAGTCTTAAGCAATTTAATCAGGTAATAAATCATTGCGAGCTTTTGTGGATGGTGAATAGAGCCAACCTTGGAATCAGGAAGATCTAAGGTTAAGTCCTGCCTGTGACGTGTACTAACTGGGTGAATATGGGCAAATCAATTAACCTTTCAATGTCCCAGATGGATTTTTAGCAAGGTAACTTATAGTTGAGCTGCTTATATGCATTGGTTGAGAGTGTTTCTACAGTGGAGGTTCTCTATAGCAGAGAAATCATGTGTTTGTTCCCTCTCTCAAAAAAACCCTCAGTTTTACATCGGATTATTTGATATTGCTCTTTTTTCCGTACACTGGTTAATTTTAGATGGGTATGTTGTCACCTGGCTACCAAAGAAGAGAATATAGATGGATTAGCTTAGTTTTATCCCCACTATTGCAAAGCTACCTGGATTATATCCTCTATTGAATTGTGTGAGAATATAGCATTTTATCAGAATATGTAAGTGGCCTTATTCTGCTATACCAATGAGCCTGTGATTTTATTGTTGTGCCTATTCTCTCCAAAGCTTAAATTTACAACTCAGCCACTGTCAGTGTCCTTCCTCTATTCCTCTTGTTCATATTTTTTTTTCCTCCACCAATCCTTCACTGCGCATTCACCCAATATACCAGAGCCCTTTCTAGCATCTCTTGACACTGTGTTGACATCAAGGGAGTATGAATACTATCATTGCTCTCTCTCATGATGACTGGAATTTCTACTTCTTCACACAATTTTTTTTTCTGACGACTTGCAATGTATTGACTTATTTAATTATATAATTTATAATTAAGCAACAAGTAGTATACTAAATGGAGAGCTGGTCTCAGAGTTAGGAAGGCCTGGATTCAAATTTTATCACTTATGCAGACTGGCTGCATGACCTAAGCAAATTATTTAACTTCTCTGCACTCAGGGCATCTCTCTAAGATGATAAATTGCTGAGCAGTTGCTGATCAGATTTGACAGAGGGAGCTCCATATATGGATAAAAATCAGAGCCTTGGTAAAATCTCACCATAGTGGTTTGTACACTTTAAGCACTTAATAGATTTTTTTTCTTATTCATTCAAAAAAGAATATAATTTTGACCTTAATAATTATGCTATAGGATGCTGATGATGGCTTTTTTAATTTAAACTAGAGGAAGACAAGTGAAATGTGGTCCAAAGGTTCTTTGGGATAATGTGCCTAGCTATACAATACTGATTCACTTTAAACTCTGTAGTAACCAGATGGGGACAATCACAGTTTCCTGCTTCCAGCCCTGGAATATAATGGCTGCTCTTTCTCATGCCATAGCGTTAATGCAGACAGATGGTTCAAAGGCAAACATATTTAGTTTTATTGTCTTCTTGAGTAGAGAAACAAAGAAGGAAGGAGGGTAAATGATGAAGACAAAGGAAATGATGTAGAGAGTACAGAAGGGGAAAAAAAAAGGCAGAATCGTCTTTAGGTCTGATTTAGCTTGTTCTCCAGGCTGTGATAACATCTTCTCCTGATCCCCCTATATAGCCCTCCCCCCTAGTGTCCACATCCCTATGGAAAGAAAGAAAAAAAAAAGATGAAAAAATCAAATAAAAGGCATGGGCTTATGAGAGGGAAAAAAGGCAAAGCATCAAATGATTGGCAGGGTTGTTGTAACACAGTTCTTGTGTTAGAGGAGTGTGGGAGCAAAAGTGACCCCGGAGGCTAGGCTCTGTCCTCATGTGAAATATTTGTTCCACTAGGACACAATCTAATTAAAGCTAATGGGGAGGAATATTGTTAGCATTTGGGTCCATTTCTCTGCAGTCCAGGGTAGATTTAAAGCTCTTCTTCCCATACTCTTGCTGTGTTTGGAATGTTGAAATGTTAAAGACAGATTTGAACCCCAAAGTCCACTTCTTTATGACCGGAAATGTGCTCTTTCAGTAAAAAAAAAATGCAGAAAAGTCCATGAAAAAGAAGAGAGAGCAGAGGAGAAAAGGACTACCAATTTACAATTTTTATATTATCGATATAATTAAAAGTTAGCTAAGAGATATGCAGGCCTTTTTAAACAACAGTTATTTAGAGTCATTTGAATTAGTTCAAGCGAAGAAGAGATGGAGAAATGAGGCTAGACCTAAAGGAAGGAAGTCAGGCTGTTAGCAAGCAAGAATTCTAATTAAAACAGAGAACAAGCATCACAGTATTGGTTCTTTCTTTCTTTTTTTTTTTAAGGGATGAATGCTCCTTGACATCAGAGCTGCCACCACTTGTGACAATAGAAAGCAAAGGAAGCTTTTATTTTATTTCTTTTTTCTTTTCCATTTATTCCAGACCCGGCAAATCACGTGATGAATTCAGTATAAATTAAGGCTGTTTCAGAGTTCAAGGTCTTTCCTTCAGGGATTCTTTTTTCCCCTTTTCCTGAGCCCTAAAAATGGAGCTCCCACAGCTTGTTCCCTTGAAAGCTAAGTAACCAGGTGGTGCAGTGAACAGACCACTGGGACTCAAGTCAGGAAGAGGAGTTCAAATCTTTCCTCAGATATTCACTAACTGTGTGACCTTAGACAAGTCACTTAACCTCTGTCTGTCTCATTTTCCCCAACTATAAAATGAGGATGATAATAGACCTGCATTTCAGGGTTATTTTGAGAATCAGATAACTTTCATAAGACACTTAGCACAGTCACTTACATAATAGGTGCTGAATAAATCCTTATTGACTGGTTGACTTCCGTATGTCACACAGAGCTTAGCTAATGGTCCAGGAGCCAAGTGTCTTATGAAAGACAGTAGATCATCTAACAAGAAAATTTGAAACTTATACATTAGCTTTTTTTGTTTCCTTTTTCAGTATTTCCAGCTAGGAAGAAAATGACTCCCAAATTATATTACTCACATGCTCCTTAGCGCTGGGGAAATTTTGAATTTTCCAGGCCACAGATGGATTCTTTCTCAGACTTAGGGACTACAGAAACAAAATCTCAAGGTCACAGGGGATTTTCTTTTAAACAGTGTAGTGTCCAGAGATACCTTATAAACACACACACACTCATAATTAAATATACTTCTCTGGAGTTCTCCAGGTACAGTAGGAACTGAGAAAGTAGAGAGCAAGACAGTGGCCCCTACTGCCTTTGAAGCAGTCTTTTCCCCTCTTTTCCTTTCAGCTAATATCTCACAGGGGTTAAGGGGAAAAATTGAGATGAAAAAATGAGCTGGATCAAGCAAAGACATGGGATCAAAGATCTCAGATCTGGGAGCACCTCCTAGACCATCTAGGCTCCTCCCCTATTTTACAGATGTTGAAACTGAGGTCCAGAAAAAAAAAGTTTAAAGACAAAGAACACATAGATAGAAAAGTTCAGAAATGGTATATCAACCTAGGTTCTTTGATCCAAAGCCTACACTCCTCTCACTGCCCTATAGTTTCTCACCCAATAAATGAGATATTTTTATAGATCCTCACATTCACGTAAAACCCAACATTTAATCTATTTTGCAACCTGCCCTTTTTATTACTAGTAGCAACTGTCTAAAGACATTGCAGATATAGAAGAACCACCCTAATTCTTCCAAAATTATAGAATACTTCTTCTGAGTTTGGAATAAAAATTTCTGTTTTGTGAGTATAGCACCACAACAGTATGGAGAAGGAATGTAATCAAGGTTTAGAGAAAGGAGATGATGCTCTAACATCAGAGATTTAGGAAAGAGATCATAGACCTCATATAGTACATCCCCCTGCTTCTACAGATACAGAAAAACTGAGTTTGAGGAACGTAAAGGCACTTTCCCAAGGTCACACAGGTAGTAGATAACAGAAGTAGGATTTGAACCCAAGGGTCTCCCATTCCAAATGCAGTGTTCTTTTGATTATGCCATTCTGCCTTTGTAACTTAGGAAGAAAGCCCTGTGATATATTGCAACAGGGACAGAGTTTCCTTCTTTCTTTCTTCTTTCTTCCTTCCTTCCTTCCTTCCTTCCTTCCTTCCTTCCTTCCTTCCTTCTTCCTTCCTTCCTTCCTTCCTTCCTTCCTTCCTTTCTTGCAATTGGGGTTAAGTGACTTACCCAAGTTAAGTGACATGAAGTGCATATTCTTGTCCTTGTTAAATCACAAAAATGACAGCACTGAAGAGTTGGCGCTTGATTCCCAAAGCATGAACTAGAAAATAGTCTCATGACTGAGTTTTTAAGTTCCCTGCTGCTTCAATCTCTCTGCATGTAGAACAGGAACAATAATAATAAGTATTGCAGAGAAGATTTGGAAAGAAATTAGATGGGCAATTCACATGGAGCATGTTGAGTGCTTTAGAATCCCTCATAAATAGAAGGTGATACTATTCATCAGTACCAACGATGTGGAATGCTCAGTTCAGAGTCTACATCCCAATTTTGGAGCCATGCAGACATCTGAAGAGCACAGATCAATCAGAGCCAAGAGATCTCAGATAGTTAATGAATAAACAGATTGTTCCACACTGATAGGATATCTACTGTCTCTTTCACGCGATTACAATATCGACTCATCTTCAAGTCATTTTTCTCCCCTTTTGTTCAGTGCTTTCCCCTTCTCTCCTCCTCCCTCTCTTAACATCTTCTTCTTTTTCTCATGACCTATCATATCTCTTCTTTTGCTTTTTGTTTTATTTCCCTTTCTCTCTCTTACAGTCTCCTGAATTTATTTTATTTTTCCACTTAGTCTTTCTTTTCTATCCCATTCAGTCTCTTGGTGCTACAATACATGAATCTACTGTAGTCAAACTCTAAGATCACACCACAAAATACAAAGCAAATAAAATTCACAAACTTTCCTTTATTGGGCAGAGTAGCACTAACCATGACCCAAAAGAAGGCTCCAAGAAAAGTAAATCTATTAGAGTTTGCATCTGTGTCCTCTCTAGCTCAATATCCCTTTTCTTTGTCAGAATAACTGTGACAGTTCTCTTTCCTTCTCTGAGAGATGGAGAGGAACAACAGAACTGCATGTGAGCTAAAGTCCTTTTAAAGGAATGCAAAAGCTGCATCTTAGAAGTGTCATTGGAATTTTTTTTTTTACCCCTTCCACCAGGACCGCTGGAGTTCCTTGGACTTCAGAACAAGAGTTTCAGGTCCACTTTGGAAATGCCAGACTGTTCCTAAGGAAATTCCAAAAGAGGGAGCTTATAATTCATCTTTAATAATGCTACTTTAAAAAAAATAAATCATATTTTATGGCTCCAAACTTAGCCTTTCCAAATATGTGAGCTTGTAGACTGCTGGTGATTAATCGATGGTGCAGAAGCAAAGGCACCAAAGGGGCCTGATTAATAGCAGTGACATCATGACTTTTAAATATGCTATTAATGCCTGGAGCCCATGACAAATGTAAATGTGACCCATGAATTTCCATGGCATTTGCATAGGTGCAGTAAAAACTTTAAAACAAAGACCTTTCCCCTTAGATTAATCATTGATTTGTAAGGTAAGGACTGGGGCCAGGAGGAAAAAGGAGAGAGGAAGCCCCTCCTCCTATCTTGGGTGTTCTGAAATTAAGGTTGTTTGGAATTTTGCAAACTTTTTCTGTTGGTGTCCAAGCTTCTCCCTGCCTCACCATTATGTGAATGAATGTATGAATGAAAAAAAAAATCCATGTATCATGTGTTTACTATGTAAAAGCACTGGAAATAAAAATAGAAAAACAAATAGTTCTTGCTATCAAGGACTTCACAGTCATTTCAGTAAGTGGGGGGCAACATGTGAATTCAACTATAAGTCAGATGGAAAGGCCCACAGTCCTTGAGGTATAGCAGCAAAGCAGATGGTAGCCCAACTCCTTTAGTTTCATTTCCATTGATAAAATCTTATCTGTTTCTGATACTGAAGCATTTGAGGGTACCAAGAACTTCAGACGTGGTGAGAGATTTCTTTTTTGGATTTTCAGTAGCTGTGATTGATGAGCAGGAGGATGTGCAGTTCCCTACAGAGGCAGTTGGCAAGGTCGTATCTTCACAAGGGTCGCTTCCCCTGATGATGGATTCTGGGGCCAAGCTGGAAGCAGGGCTGGATTCCACAGCCTTTTGGCACAGGGTACTGGGCTGTCTCCACCTAGATCAGAGGGGAGATGGTGGTTGAGGTGGTTGGGACACTCGGCACAGGCCTCACTGGGGCTCACCCTAAGGGAACCTTGCAGCATCATCTGAGCTGGCTTGTCTACCTCAAGTGTGGCAGGTGATTGGCAGGTGGTACTGGCAATTATAGAGATGGCCCATTCCCTCACCACACAGATTGATGCCCTAGTTTATTGCTGTAGGGCTAAAGACATTATATTGTATATGACCAATTCCTGAAAGTCCTGCCCCGTCCTGGTAGTTTACAATCAGTCAGTTCTGCGGGGCAATTACTTATTTATCTTCTAATTCATTTTCATTCTCCTAGAGACCCTCATTAGTAAAAGCTTTACCAAAATTTCTCCCTAAAAACCTCTGATCACCTTTCCTTCTCTATTGTATTTCTGTTGGCTCCTGAATAATTATCTCCATTACTAAATTAATAGTTCCATGATGACATTACAAGGAAAAGAGGAAGAAAAAAGAAAACTCAGATTCCTCATTGCCAAAAAAGAACACAGGTCCAATGAAGACTTTTCTTATTACTAGAAATCCTTCTTCAATTTGCTCAACCCTGGGAAATCTCATCTCTGGATCACAGGACGATTGATTTTTCAGTTGGAAGGAAGCTTGGAGGCCATCTAGTCCAATATCTTTTTTTTTTTACAGATTAGGAAACTGAGGCCTAGAAAGGTTAAATGACTTCCTAAGGTCATCTAAGTGATAAGTTACAGAGGTAAGTTTTGAACCAGCTTCATTCCACTACACTTGAGTGAATAAACAAATGCCTCAGGAAAATCCCTGAGGTGCATGATGGTTCAATAAAATGCTCAGGGTCAATTACACAGTAAGAGTCAGAGAAAGAATTAGAATCTAGGGATCCCTTTCTCCAAGCTCTAGCTACCCAATGCTGTACAACACTGCCTCTTATTATGATCTAGAAAACAAATGTTAGTTAAGTGAAATCTCACCTTATACAACCTGAGACCCTTAACTAGTAGCTCCCTGTTAAAACCTCTAACCACCTTTCCCTCTCTATTTTTTTTTGTTTTTTGAAAAATGATTTCCCTTACTAAATTGGAATTTCTCTGATAACATGTAATCTCTCTCCCTCAAATGTGTATCTTCCTAATACCTAACACAGAGCTTTGGACATAGTGTGCTGTCAATAGATTTATACTGAACATAGATTTTTAATTTTTTTTAATTAATAAAAATATTTTTTCTCCCTCCCATTCACTACTCACTGTAGAGAGTGTTGGGGGGGAAGAAAAAACAAATGTATGTAGTCAAGCAAAAACAAATTCCTATATGGGACATGTTCAAAAATTTTTTTCTTGTTTTGTACTCTATCACCATCCATCCCCTCTGTCAGAAGGTAGGTAACAGATTTTATCATCAGTCTTCTAGAATCCTAGTTCGTCACTGTGTTGATCACACTTCTCAAATCTTTCAAAGGTGTTTGTCTTTACGATGTTGAATTGGCAAAGTGGATCATATCTTATTTCCATTGTTTGGATCAACCCCAAGATTAAATCTCTAATACACATGTCCCCTTCTCTCTGTGAATCCTATGTTCTGACCTTTCTCAAACTCTAATGGCTTTTCCTTTAACTTCTATTCACTCTTGCACTGACTATAATTTTTAAGTGTCCTCATCAGCCTGACTAATGGACACATATTGTTGTTGTTATTGTTCAGTCCTTTCAATCATGTCTGACTTTTCATGACCCCATTTGAGTTTTCTCAGCAAAGATACTGGAGTGGTTTGCCATTTCCTTCTCCAGTTCTTTTACAGATGAAGAAATTAGAGCAAATAGGGTTAAATGACTTGCCCAGAGTCACACAGCTACTAAGTGTCTGAGGTCAGATTTGAACTCAGGTCTTCCTCACTCCTGGCTGGAGCTATATCTACTGTTCTACCTAGCTGCCCTGGACACATATTATTATAAGGAAAACAACTTTGTGTGTGTGTGTGTGTGTGTGTGTGTGTGTGTGTGTGTGTGTGTGTGATTCTAACAGCATAAGCAGAAGAGCCTTACTTCAGATTTTGGAGATATGTAGGAAGAGCTGGCAAAGACTCTTGTTGCAAAGTTAGGACTATGTATCTGTAAGAAATAGGAAGGAAGGTAAAAAAGACAGGTATGCATCTTATAGCCCACAGGATATAATTTTTACAGAGAATGATTCATTTAATATCAGATATTCTTTCTTAAAATTCATTATGTTTTTGAGTTGGAGAGGACCTTAGAGGCCATTTAGTCCAAACTACTCAATTTATAAAGGAAACTGAGGACTATTAGAATTAATTCTAAGATAAGGTTTGAGGATAAGAGAGAAATATACATTTTAAACTGTATCTGAGTAGAAAATAGGGTTATATTAGCTAGTAACTGATTAGAGTTAAGGATTAGAATGATAGAATATTGGGGCTCAATTAAGCCTTAGAGATAATATAGCCTGTTCCCTAATTTTATAGTTGAGGAAACAAGTAATGAGAGAAAGGATACATGTTCCAGGTCCCACAAGCACTGTATGACCTCAAGTTGACACCTGAACCTAAGTCTCTTCTACATTCTTTTTTGCTGTCCCTGAGAATATACTTCAGTTGTATTTTGGCACTTGAAATTGCTGTGTTTTTTTTTCTAATGAATTATTGGTATCATATTCAAATCAAGCACGTTTTTTAGCTTAGCTGATTTAATAGAGGGATAGGTATTTTTTAGAAGATCTAAAACAGGATTATAAGCAATGTTGTGTTGGTAAATGTTTAACAACTGGCTTTTGGGGGTGGGAGGGTAATGTATGCAGGGCACTTTTTTTTTCCGGGCACATTTTTTTAAGCTAATCTGTACTATCGACATTTTCTCTATTACTTTCATAAGCCTGGACAACCAACAAAACAGGAAATCAAGCCCAGATTTTTAGTGTTTACTTAGTTCCAAGTTATAATGTTAACACTGAAAATTTAACAATAGGCTCTCAGGAGCTGGTACAGTCGGCTATAGCATATTCCTGATTATAAGCAAATATCAATCCTCCAGGTATTCATACCTTCAGTTTAAATTAGCAAATCAGACCACAAAAGCAAGGTCCCTATTGTCACTTGGTGGCAGTGTAGCTTAAATGTAGATCCAATCTAGATCTTTTAAATGGTGACTCTACTAATTGATTCTGCAAACCTAAACATATGTAATTATATCAGTAGATGTTGCAGGTGTGGATACCTATATCTGCAAAAAGCAAAACCAAACCAAAAAACATGTTTTGGATCACCCAGGCGCTAAATGTGAATATAACGGTAAATATGGCCAAAGATTATTTGAAATCAGATGCTTAATACACATTAATAAAATAAGTACAGGGGCATATATGCAGAAAATAGCCCTTGTACATGTAAGAAGTCATGGATTTCAATTACTTGGACATAGTTAAGGCCATGCTTCTTGCACTGGTTGGACACAAGCTCTATTTCACAAAACACTTAGTTTTAATTGTACAAAACTGCCCCCATTGTCAATGGGCTTTAATAAAAGTATATATTAAATAGGGAATATGTCCATTTTCATGATTGTCCTCACCTGAGGTTATGAAATGGGAAAACAAGGTGGAAGGGGAATGTTTCTACACAGGCATCCCTTTTATTCCTAACTCAATTACAGGAAGTAGAAACATTCCATCACTATTGACATAATTATTTAAACAGGAATAAAACTAAATCTAAGAAGGTTGTCTTTTGTAGAGTTACGTGATGTGATAGAAATGAATGAATAAATGAAAAAGGTTAGTAGTTGCTTACAATGTGTTATGTACAAAACTGAATATGGGAAAAAAAAAAGAAGAAGCTCCCTATTCTCGAAGATCTTACTTGCTAATAGGGGAGTAATGGCCAGGGAAGGGTATTTGGTTTGGAAAATTATAGGAGTGGTCACAGTGGAGCAACATGGGAATAAGCCATTACACCTATTTCTATTAGCATTAGAAGTATTGATTAGAATTTGGTTCCAGGACTGGTAAGGGATTCAGGAACAGCCCAGAGGGTTCATATTCTCTGCAAGACAGCTGGTGAGAGGATGGTGTGGGAGGGCAGTGAAACATGGCTGGAGCAGCTAACCAGATATTGTGAGTTACATGGGAGGCATTGGCCAATGAGGAGTTCATGGACTTAATGAAAGTGTCAATCACTATACTGGAGACCTAGTTGGAAGGAAATTCAGAAGGCATCTAGTCCAAATCTTTGCTTCAAGATGAATCCTATTTCCCTCCATCTCCAATATGCAGTCATCCAACTGTTGTTTGAACACTTAAAGAGAAGAGAATAGTGCCTGGATTAATGAATGTGTGTTAATATTCTTTCTGATGAAGTAATCCATTTCACTGGGGGGGAAGCTATAATTCTTAGGAAAGTACTTCTTGTGGTGTAATGATACCTACAACAAGTGTTTGGGTCTTCCACTTACTGCTGTTAGCTGGGAATCCTTTGTTCTCAAACCAAAAAAAAAAAAGTCTAGAATTTAAAATGATCTATCTGTAAAGGACATTAGGGACCATCTAGTTCAAATCTCTCATTTTTGTTGAGAAAAATGGTGGCTCAGAGAAATAAATTATCTATCCCAAGGACAAAAAGCTAATTAATGACAGAACCTGGATTTTAGCCAAGGTTTTCTGACTCTGAGTCAGCTATATTTTCTGTTTCATCATGTTTCCTCCTCTTCTAAAGGACAGCTCTTTAAACATATGAAGATAGCTATCATTTCCCCTCTAAGTCTTCTCTAAGCTCAAAATCCCCAGTTCTTTCAATGAGTATTTGCATGACATGGTTTTGAGTGTCTTGAGCATTTCAGACACCCTCCTCTGGACTTGCTTCTGTTTATCATTATCATTCAGTTTGTAATTTGTCAAAGAATTAGGGCTTCTCCCAAATGAAATGGATTACTTCATGAGGAAGAAAGTTAGCAAGCATTTATTTAGCCAAATACTGTTTTCTTATTTTTAAGT